CTAAATGGTTTTAGAGTAAGGATTTAAGAAGAGAGAGAGAGAGAGAGAGAGAGAGAGAGAGAGAGAGAGAGAGAGAGAAAGAGAGAGAGAGAGAGGGAGGGAGAGAAAGAGAAACACAAAGAACAACAGAACAAACTAGTGCTTTATCTTTTTGTCACTCCTGTATCCTTCTCTCATCAGAAAATGGCATTAGCTGGAGTATATTTCAAAACAAGTTTACTTTCAGTCAATTTTACAGCACTTGCAACACAAATAGGTCATATAAGTGCCAACATTATTAGAGGTGTTATAAGAGAGTAACATATAAAGAAAAGAAAAGATAAGGGTGAAAGATGTTTATTGTTTATCATGAAAGAAAGAGCAAATCACACCAGAGCAACCGTCAACTACCCACTTTTTAATAAGCAACAAGCAGAACAAAAAAAAAAAAAGAAGAAATTAGGACCTAATAATATTATGGTTTCACTTGATTCTATCAACAAACACGGCACGGGGTAGAGAGAGATGAGATCAACTGTCCCCACTGTAAAACCCTGACTGAGCGTTTGCAACAGCAGCAAAAACTCTCCCGTTCTTGAAATACACTCTATTATCACAAGTCAGACAACCGTCATACTTCTTTGCTAGAGCGGGCGGGAAAGGGGGGGGGGGGGTCGGACAAAAAGAACAAGAAATGAGAGTAGAAACAGACAACCGTCCACCAACGACCAGTGCCGAACAGGCGAACACAAACAAACGTGTGATGAGAGTAAAAAGGTGCCATGGTGGTGGGTAACCATCAAAATACTATGTGAGCCAGGGACCGCAAATTATAATCAGTGGCGAGGACTGTCAATCAACCGTCCAACCAAGTACCCGATGCAGCACACTGTTTTGTGTAAACGGAATTTTCATACAGTTGTATGCGAAGTCTTGCTATTATAAAGAGTCTATTGTGTAAACGGACGGTAAATTTTCGTTCAAGTTAACAAGGAAGCAAGTCGACACGATAATGGTCATGTTTGGTGTTGGGAAAGAGCAAAGCTGACAGACAGAAATGACCGAGGAAAAGTGAGGATCAACCAGTGGCACTCCAAAAACCCATGCGCACCCCGATGAAGCACACAGCCCCCATGGTTATGAAAAGGGAAATGGCTTTGTATGCATGGGTTCAAAAGACATAAATACTGAAAGAATACATTCGTTATTCGAAAACGCAAATGGGTAATGAGTCTTGGGTAAAACGAAGCATGTCGACGCGATAACGGCCATTTAGTGGAGGGGAAAGGCAAGACAGACACAGGACCAACAGAGGGTAAGGAAAGAAGTTGAATCTACACCTGGCGCCCTCCAACCACCCGCTTTTGGTAGCAGAGCGTGCTTAATTTAAGTAAGAGATGCACATAGGCGTGATAACGGTCATTGTACACAACTATGATGAAAGATGTAAACGGGCAAACAAGAGGGAAAGCAATTTAAAAAGGAGTAGGCCCCTTCCAGCGCTTGCAATCTACTACTCGCAGCGGACAATGATTCTTTTAGAGATTTGAGATGGGTCAAACGACCGGTACTGCACGAAGATTTTTAAGCCAAACTATTCAAATGTCATATCAAAGATTAGATATGCTACCCCCCCCCCCCTTCCCCCCCTTTAGCTTTGGGATCGAATACACTGATCCACTGTGCATCAGAAAGAACCACAATTCCCCGACAAAAAAGCCTCCAAATATCCCCTTAACTCCTAACTGCCTCTCCTTCACATGACTGACACACATAGAAACATACACACAAAAATGTGTGCGTGCGCGTCAAAGCAAAATTTATATTCTCCCGTTCATCTCTCTGGACGAAAAGAAACTTCCAATCGAGTTCTTTTTATAAAGAAAATTATGGCACGTCATGAACCGTGGGTCCAAAGTCCATAGATTCAAGGTTCTGTCTGAAGAGACAACTGAGAAATTATTTAGCACTTAAAGAGAAAACAAGAAGCAAAAACAACAACACCAACATGATAGTATAGTAATAATAATTATTATAATAGTCATAATAATATTATTAATAATAATAATAGGCTAAACGGGTCATGAGGTTGTGCGAGGGGAAGGTTGTTGATTTGCCAACCGTTCAGCCAAGTAGAGAATCTTGGGTTCAGCCAGCGGCGCGGGACGCTTGAGCTAAAAATAGACCTGGCGCGGCCCGCCAGCCAGAGATCTGCCTGAGCTGCCCGTCTGCCCGCCCTATCAGGCCACCACCTCCAGCCGGCCTGGCGTTTGTCGAGTGGCTGCTGACTCGAGCGCGGGAGTGTGCGTGCACCGTGCGTGCCCCGACCCGCCCGCCAAACAGCAGACAGAAACAGGGCGGGGGCACAAGAAGGACGACAACCGCTGTAGGAATGGGCTGAGAACGGGAGGAAAAGACTGTCACTACTACTAGGTCTAGATTCTACAACATCCAACAAGAAAACAAAAACGTTTAAATTCCACAACCCCCCCCCCCCCCCTCCCATTCCACACAGTGTATACTGTTTGTATGACAAGGCAAAATACCCTGAGCAGGTATCCAGAAGTATATCATGCAGTGGAGAGACCGTTTGAAAACCTGCGGTACAACAAGCCTTACAAGGTCACCCCCTTTAGAGAGGCAACGTTTTAATACAACAGCAGCACACGGTGCTCATTCTGTCCCTTTTTCGAAACAACAGCAGTTCGAGCTATCTGTGACGTCGTAGCAATGTGTTTGTCGTTCGTTTTCTCTGTGTGTTTCAGTTTCAAGCAGGCATACATGTCCATGTGTTGACCGCGTTGACCTCTGGCCTGCTTCAGCTCAAGACAAAGGGAAGCTAAGGACGAATGCTGGAGGCATGTCATGTCCTCGTCGGCTAGCCGGCAGCAAAATAATATGACGTATCGCGTAGTTTGGGTACAAGCAGTAGGAGTTCACCTGCCGCGCTGTCCTGCTTTCTCTACTCTGTGAAGTCAAACACTAAAGATTCGGTGGTGCTGCAGAAAAGAACCTCTGCTTCTACGTATTGAGTAAAGAGGAGTACATTGAGACAAAATAACGGTCGGGTCAGTTCGTGCAAAGAAAGAGTCATGCAGACAGAAAAAAGAGAAACAGAAGAGGGACAGAAGTAGACCTAACCAGGGAAGACGCCCTCCAACCATCCATGCTGATACCCATTAGTAGTAGAAAGAGAAACATTCCAAAAACCTGCTGATATACAAAACACATACAAGCATAACACTGCACCCTTTTGATCACCTTTTCGGAACAGCAATTAAATGTTTGTAGCGTTGTAGCAATGAGTCAGTGAGTGTACACTGTGCAGTTCAGTTTCAAGCTGCCCTACGATGTGGTAACTTTACTGCTCTTCCCTCTGACACACTACAGCTCAAGGTGAAGAGAAGGCAAGAATGCATGTGCATTTTGGTGTAGGGGGAAAACCAAACAGACAGACTTAGTTTCAATAAAGGGTTTTACGGCAACACAATAAGGTCATATAAGTGCCGACTGTTAGATGTTACAAGAGAGTAACAAACACAAAAAGGAGGATAGATAAGGACGATAGATGTTTGAATGTGATAGGAAAGAAGGAGCAAACCTCACCAGAACACCCGCCAAGCACCCCAAATCACGGCTGATAGACCGAAATAACAAAGG